TCAGGTGAGATCATTGCTGACAAACACGACCTCCAGGGCGTTCAGGGAGTGTGATGGATGGCCCTGCGCTGAATTTAGCCTCTTTAGTCTACTTTGGCATGATTAGCTGTTTCAACACTACCGTCCAACAAGGAGTAAAGATTGAGAAAGGATTAAGATTGGACTGTTATTAAAACAGAAACATTAGGGACTTTCTGAAGAATTTTGACCAGCTTGCCTCTCTTTATCTATTTTAATATTGTTATTTTAGGATCTAATATAATAAGTTACATATTACACTAACAACAGTGACTTTGGGCCTCAGCTAATTAAATGGTCTGCATTTATAAGTACTACAGTAATTGGTTACCGACAACATACAGCAGTTAGCCTAACACACAACTATCAACCACTGACTTAATGAATGAATGAATGAATGAATTAAAAAGTATCTCAGGTCCCTATGTCACTAAAACAGTCTCCCACTTACCCCTCTTCCAAAACAGGTCCCTATGCCACTAAAGCAGTCTCCCACTTACCCCTCTTCCAAAACCGAGACATACAATGTCATCACCTGGTAATATAATTTCACTTATTATGAGTATAGGTATAATTATACAATAATTATGCACCATAACATGTTTTAGATAACATATAAATCATCATATTTTGAGAGAAAATACCTCCAGAGACGTTAGAAACAATGCAGCCAATTACTGACCTGTTGCTGGCATGAAACGTGCCTAGCAACAGAAATTTATCCAATCAGCATTGTCGAATCTGATACCTTAATGGCGGTCTTCAGTTCAGATTAGCAATCATACTTATTTGAACGTTACAGTATATCGCTTCACAGGCTAAGGCCTACCGCCAGTTCACACAAAATTAAAAAGAAAGTTTATACACAACATACCATTTACCACAGCAACCGCTGGTGTCCTTTTCTCTCTCTTTTTTCCGCCTCTAGATTGGTAGTTGTTGCTGATGCTGCTACGTCTGGTCACGCTTCCTGCTAACGTCTGTACGTCAAACGACGTCTTCTCTGGTGATGCGTTTACTGGCGATCGTAATAACTGGTGTTTGAGTCTGCGCACATTCGCCCCTCTCAATGTGGGGGGACATTTTGGGGAACGGCACCCATAACGCAACACCCCGGGAAATCGGGGACGCCTGGCCGTCCTGATTTAAGTTTGTTATTTATTCGGTACTACCATTTATTTAAGAGAATCAACGTCCGAGGCGTGTTGCAGTTGGTTTCCGTCGGCCTGGCAAACCTCGATTACAACAAGCGCTCCCTCTAACGGCGTGAATTGGAATCAGCTCCCAAATGTCAATAAAACAAAACAAATAACTCACTGACATATTTGCCTAATGGAATAAAAATACACAAAATGTAATCATGTGAAAAACTGACATGGGGTGAAGTCATACAGAGACACCAAAACCACTGGGTTTATACAGGTTATTATAAAACAGTAATGCAAAAGCACAAACCACTCCACCACTGTGTGGCCCCAGGTAACCTAGAAACATCCATGTAAAGAAAGATTTACCATCCTGTTTTCAGAAAGTTTGTTATTCCGGTAGAGAAAGAGACACAGCAGAGAGGACATTTACTACGGACGAAGAAAAGTGTCTCACCGTGGTGCCAGAAACACCTCCTGGGTGTCAAGGGGAGATGTTGTCTTCATTCCTGATGTCTTTTGAAAGAGGAATTTACACACCTTCAGATGGTTCTATTTGCACAAAAAAATATTTCCGTGCCTTTTCTGTCCCTTGTCAAAGGAATAATCATAATGATCATGAGAGAGGCTATGTTTAAATACCACCAACAACATCAGGGAGGTCTTTAGTCTTTTGTGTCCCAGGTTTTACGGTCTGTTCTGTTTAACTTTGACTCTCGTATTTTCTTCTTCCTTCTGTTTTTTTTTTTTCTGCTCTCAGGCTCAGTGTCTCGTTTATTCGCTCTCTTGTCATTTTAAGGGGACGGTTTCTGACTGGGCTCCTCACAAGTGTGTGTTCACTGGACCACTGTGTTCTTCTTGTTATTTCCATCCTGTCATTGCTGCTCTTCCCAGCTTTTACTGTGGCTGGTAGAAAAACAATCACCTTAACTCCCAGAGTCTGGCTCCATGGATGTTTGATCTACCTGCTGTGATCTGACCCTCTGTGATTAATTTGTGAATGATCAAAGTTAAACATTTTCATTTACTGACAGTTCAGTTTATCATCCATTCGTGTACAGTCTAACTGTGGACAGTTATTTTGAAAAAAAGTTGGCGTGCCCAGAATGTCACCGTCAACACGACAGCCATTTGTAACATGTGATTTTGTTTCTGCTCCTCATGCGGTTTTGGGAAAAACGATTCCCATGGTTGGTTTTTTTTCCCTCCATGGAGTCAGATCACGTTAGAGGGTCGAGTGGCTGAAGGATGAGCAGCCAAAAGTTTTTCCATTCTTTGTTTACATTGCAGAGTTCAGGCTCACGTGAGGGGAACTTTTTAACATTTTTTTATTGGCCGGGGTGAAGGTGACCTCGGGGAAGAGCTGAGGGATTCTTTTTCCTGCTCTGTGTTTTTCTCAGCTGGGAGCCCTGGCTTCTAACACCGCTAACGTGCTACAGGACCAGAGTGTGGAAACAAATGAAGGGCTTCCCATGTGAAAGTGGTTCCCTCGCAGACCGACCAGAGTTTCTTGTCCTAATTAGCGGGGAATGAGTTATGGCTGGAAAAGTTGAGCTCAGGCGGAGAGGGAGCGGCAGCAGCAGCAGTTTGACCGTTGACCTCCAAGAAACAGGTTCCTGCGCCTGATCCAAAACAGCAGAACCAATGTTCAAAATCAGGACCTAGTGGGGTTCACATTAGCAGAAGTCTTTCACTGCTCCAAGATGCAGTCATTCTGGATTATAATCTCACTAACTGCTGTTTTCGTAAGAGGAAGGTTTAAAGCTAAAGGGTTCAGTGTAGGGTTGAACGATCCACAGGGATCTCTCAGTTAAAAAGAAAAAAAAAACACCCTTTAGCCTCAGCCTCCTGGTCCAGGAGCTCCGGTCTGCAGATGATGTAAGACTCATAACAACAAAGACCTATTTGTGCCACTGTGCCACACACTCGGTGGTCTCGGCGCTGCGTGGCTTGGCAGGAACCCGTGCAGGGTCTACCTCTTTCATCCTGGACAGAACTTGATCTCAACTCCACGCTGAGATGTGTGACTTCACTGACCCTCAGGTCAGATCTGTAGGGGATGAGTGTCACTGACCTTGTGACATGAAGAGGCCATGTTCTCTGACAGAGTTTGTTTTTGAGGAATCAGGATGTGGAACATGAAGAACCTCCTCCCGCTCCAATCAACTTCCTTTTCCCACTTCTGAATCCATGTAAACCTGGCTTCCTGAGCAGAATCTCTTGCTGTGCCCGTTTCCTCGTCTTTGTTCCCAGCCCTCGAGCTGCGATCTCAGAGAAGAAGAAAAGATCACACGAAGACAGATACATCTGGAACATCTAAGCCGGCTGCACTCGCCAGTTCCTGAGCTGCTGCTAATGAGTTGCAGGAGTTTAGCATCACTGGCTTTGGCAGGTTGGCATTTGTAAAACTCATCATCCTGACTTTCCATTTCTGGATTATTTTAGTTTCATTTCGCAGGATAAATGAAAAATATTTATTCAAAGTGTCGTTTACACAGTGGTCTAACTTATGGAACTGGGAAGATTTTTGAAGTTTGTGCTCAGTTAGACGTAAGCGTAGTCAGCAGTCAAAGGAAGATTTTTGAAGTTTGTGTTAGACGTAAGCGTAGTCAGCAGTCAATAGACAAGGCTGTAGCTTTGTTTTCCTTTTTCCTGGGGCGTCAGAGAAAGTGTCACTGCATATTCTGAGGGCTCGCTGCGAGGCCACGCTCTGCACTGGGAGCTCTGTGTTTAGTTCAACCTTCACTCACTGCACGCCAATGTGTACGCCGAGTGGCTTTTGGGCTCAGAGTCTGCCAGCATTCGCTCAGTGTGAAAACCCACTCTCTGGTCACGAGTCTTTTCTCAGCATGTGACATCACCGCCGCGGTGCAGCAGAGGAGAAAAGCCACAACCAGAGGGTTTGACCAAGAGCTGGCCAAATGCTAAACTGTCCAAAAAAAAACTTCTGACCTCACCTTCCTCACCCTGGCCTTAGGACTCACCCTGAGAGGTGAGCAGGTGTGACTAAAGAAACACACACACCATCCTCCTCTGCCTTCACAGCTGGAGGCCAAGGGGCCAAAGGGGAGTGACGGGTTTACAGCATGTTCACTGGTGAACTGTATGTAGGAAGAGCAGATTTAGAGTTTGAACCTGGAGCAGGACGCCGTCTCCGTCACAAATCAGGAGGATGTTTGTGGAGGCGTGTCGTCTTTTAGTGGTTGGAGGTGAGTCACGGCAGGAATGTGTGATACAGGGGAGGAGAAAGTGGAGGTGTTTCACAGAGTCTGTTTTTCTGCCATATAAACACAGAGTGTACACAAGTGTAAGATTACAGATTGCTCACATTATTAAAGCTGCGGTAGGCGAGATTCCTGGGTGTAATATTTCCTGTAGGTAACTCAAACACAGAGATTCTGACATTTGACCTACAGCTTAACCTGAAATAAATTTGGAAAAATAGCTGTTAGACTTTTTGTTTGGAGAGTTTGGAGTTTAGTTTTCACAGAGCTCAAAGATACTTGTGAGTTGTCATCTTTGTTTAACAGAGTATTATTTATTTATGACAAATTTAACCACATTTTTTCTTTATCTCTAATGTGAAGACAATCAAATGTCAACATCGACATGAAGATCCGATGCTCACTAACTAAATCACTCATCTTCGATTCAACTGAAATCTATAATGACGGCGTCCATTCCGTCTCTGTCCACAAGGTGACACTGCTCCGGAAAGAGTTTCTGAAACAAACAGAAGCTCTCGGTTTACTTTCAAGGATTTCCACGAGCAAAAATAAACCCAAACTTTTCAAGCACGTCATTTCATTGTCCTCCTGATTGCAGGCTGTCAGAGTGTGTAGCATTTGTCAAACAGCGTAAGTGTTTGTGTCGGTTGTTTAGGACGCTGCAGCGGAGCGACGCCTCTGTTCTCAGGTTTCTGAAAGCAGTGTTTATGCTTCTGTGTTTTCCAGATGAACATTTGATTTACGTTTGTGTAAATAAACAGTTTTGTGTCTTTTTTTTGTCAACCTGTGCTCCCTTAACTGTAACGATACCACGTGTATTTCCACATTCCCAGTGTCGGGAATCACAGTTCTGTGGCTGTGGAAGTGATAAAGCTACAGAAGACAAGTATTTAAAAGACTCCAATGATTATTTTGGAATCAGGTTGTGGGCCAAATTGGAAGGTTCAGCGGGCCAAATTTGGTCCACCAGCCATCAGTTGATGATCACTGAACTAAATCAATCTCTGTGTCCTGTGTTTTCTAACCGCTTTATATCAAATGCCCCTTTATTCCTTTGTGGTGGTTGATCAGTGATGCATTTCCAGATCCCTTTGAAAGTAAACGCGCTGAGGTGGGACTCCACCGGTGGATGCGAGTTAGCTTTTGTACGTTAGCGCTAAACTCAAAACAGTCGTCTTCTGATCTGATCCCTGTCATTTCTGAGTTCTCAGTGAAATCATTTGAAACAAAACTGTGCAGAAGTTCCTCAGCGATGCTGTTAGGGCTGGGAAACCTCGTGGCTAAGGGTGCGTAGGAAAGTATGCAGTAAAGAGAGGTGGATTGAACCAGACTCAAACACATGCAGGGAGGAGACGGAGCCAAGCACCAGGAGTCAGAGCTGACAGATGACCAGGTTTACACTACAACGCTGGAATTTAATGTTGGGAAAATAAATGAAAAGGTTAAAAGAAAAAAATCATTAAAACCTTTAAATGATTTAAATGGACTAATGTTTGTTCTTTCAGCCCAGGCTGATGCTTCACTGCTCTCGGGGCCAACTGTGACCAGAACTACACGCTGCAGCCTCCAGGTCCAAGTCTGCAGCTGCGGTTGCCAGATCTTGCAGAAAGACAACAATAGTAAGAGACTCAGCGGTGGATGTGGATGTCCTTTCATGTGGCTCCTCGCTGTCTGCTGGTCGCCAGCTCCGGGCTGATTTACACCACAGCAGCAAATTCACAACCCAAACAAACCCCAGAAGACTAATTATGTCAGGTTGACTCTGTCAGCTTATCAGAGAGGAGAACCAGAGAGAGAGGACGGTGACCACAGAGGACGACGAGTCTCAGTGCTGTCTGTCTGCGGCCTGGATGTGGATCTTCACTGTGG